TTTTTTTTTTTTTTTTTTTTTTTTTTTTTCATTCTACCCGATAACGAGTAATCCGTGTACTGATAAACTAACGGACCGGTACATACCGCCCGTACCGGGCGATATTATTCGAAATTGCATACCTTGTTTAAGGGAAACAAGAGACAAATAGAAAGCATAAAAACTTCAAGGTGAAAAAACTGTTGCATTTGTTGTAATTGCCATGCTTGAGAAATGAAAAAGAAGATATTGTGCCTTGGTATGTGGTTCTACTTAGAACGGGTGACAAAGTATAATCATTGCTTGAAGAACTCTTTCACTGGCAGGAGAGAAAATTATAAGTAATCTGTAAAATAAGGATGAGGCAAATAGATGTGAAAATCATCAAAAGGGGGTGGAATTGACTACAACAAGTAAAGAATCAAGAATAACATACAATGCACCTTAATATGTTACATATAAGGAATATATATTCCAATTCTAAGGATTAGTCGAAGAACCATTTTGTGGTAAATGTGATTAGTAGTTGTATCTAATAACAGCTAAATGTGGCAACATAAAAGAGATGATGAATGTAAAACGAAGTATTAAAAAAAAAAACAGAAAAGAACCTACTTATTTGCTCTTTCACTTTTACTTTGTATCCATCTATTATGAAATGAATGAGAACAAGCTTCAATCACAAGGAACACAAAGTTAACCAAAAACAAATAAATTCATTTTTATCACAATAAAATTATGACATGACTCTGCAAATAGTAATGTAAATAGAAAAATAATGAGCGGAGTTGGATATCCCAGTTTACTATACATACCATGAAATATAAGAAAGGAAACAATGATGAGATTGGCAAAGCTGAAAAAGAAAACAAAGAAATGGAGAGATATTAGAACACCAGATTACCAATATACTGAGCGAAAGCAGCCAAACTAACAAGCTACACAACAAATTACAATGTTTCAGACATAAGGGAGGTAAAGTTAACTGACAGAACAAGGTCCAATCAATACCCAAATTTTTCGAGATCTTATACAAACTCAAAAATCTGAAACCTCAAGTGTTCCCCGTTACTTCCAGATCTTCACCCTCTCATAAATTAATGTTCTTTGAAGATATAGAACAATTGTGCCAAATGTGGTTATCACTGGTTTCCATAACAGCACATCCAAATGTCACAATGTCACTTGAATTTCTTTCTTATTTGGCACTCCTTACCTTAATGGATGACTACACCCCGTAAAGAATTTTAACCATTTATTTGTACATGGATAGGGTTTTGCAGAGACCCATTCGAGGAAAATAAAAGAAAGAGAGATTTATGAAAAATAGGGGTTTATTGATTTGAGAGAAAGCCATGGATCTTTTATATACTCCACTATGATACTGTGATTTTTTTTTCTGTTTTCAACTTAGAGTAGACATAAAGTCAAACTGTGTAAAATCTGGTACACTTTATTCTTCACAAAATCTGTTGTTTGGTTGCATCCTAGAAACTGAATTAAGATGCTACTTTATCTTAGCAAAACATATTAAAATTATTTATGATCATGTCACTTGAAAAGTTATGAAATAACAAATACTCCCTCAAAATCTGGATCCAATTGGGTTCAGAGATATGGAGGACCAGATGGAGAGGAGGACAAGATAAAGAGGGTTCACAACTACAAGGGTTTAATAATATGGGAGGAAGGGGAGGAAGAGGAGACGGAATGGAATTATGGATAATGTTAAAGGTTCAGGAAGAGGAGGACCTTGATTGGACGTGTTGACATCCTTAGTTTGTTGGTGCTTAACTCAGTAGGGGCTAAAGTAATGGTTCTAGATGTCTTCGTCAAGACCTGAACTGATCAAGAATCACAAGTGAAACATGATGGACAAGGCAAACCACTAACGAACAAATTAGAAGAACATCAAACACTTGCAAGTTAACAAAAGAATCATAGCACGAAGGACTGTGACATGCTGAATGAGCAGATGAAGAGTCAAGTCGCAGGTTTTGTTTTGCATTTATCAGATTTAGTACAAGGCTGATTCAATTAGAAATGGGCTGCCACACCACACTACAATTGTTCTGTGAAGACCTTAAATTTATAATCACAATAAGCCTCAGACATTGTTGTTACAAGGCAAGCAATGCTCTAGAAGTAGCTCCTACATGGCATAGCTGTAGTACCACTTAGGTCTGGCTGTAGAACCGATTGTCAAGAAGTGTCAAAGGAGAGTATTCTTGTGTATGTTTCACAAGTTTATGTTAGTTCAATAGTATGATTTAACCCTAACCAGCTCTAATATATGAAGTGGTTTCACTTGCCTGTGTTCTATCCATTTTGCACTTATTACATAGTATCTATGATACTAGGGTCCGAATCATAGAAATAGCCTATCTAAGTTTAGAGGTAAAGCTACATACATTGATCCTCCCTTGACTCTGTAATGATGGGAGTCTCATGCACTAGGTATGCCATTATTTTTTATAGATTTGATCAGACTTTTAGTTTCTCATGGTCTGCTCCAAAAAAGTTCCAGTGAAGTAAGCATTGAATTTACCATCACCAGCTTAAATATGAAACCTCAAAGGAACATTGCCATTATGTGCTTACATTTCAAAATGTTACATAACAATGAAATTTTTTGAAAGAAAGAATTATCATTTAATTATAGGTCCAACCCCTAAAATGAGGAGGTATTACAAAAATCCCACTCCATGAAAAGGATGAGCAGGTTATTCCGCAGTGGTGGCAGGATTGTGACGTGTTCAGTTTGCATTTCTAGATATGTGAATCCACCCAATCACTTTTTCATGATTAGCAAGGAGAATTATTTCTTTACATTAATTTTCCAGCCACCAGATAGGGTTTTTGCTCCCTCAAAAATGTTGACCAATTGTAAAGAGTCCATCTTGATCAAAATGTTGTGAAGGTGGTCAGAAACTGCACAGCATTCAGCTTGCAAGGCATTATGGGCAAGGTGGGTGGTGTTGTATCTGGCTGCTAAGTTGTTGCCAGCCACAAAACTGACAGGGTAACCAGTGCCTGCAAGATCAAAGTTAGGGGAACAAGACTCGTCCGTTTCCAGGATGTAGCAATGGATAAGGGATATGGGAAGATTATTTGGGGGAGCCCATAGGTCCTCAGGTGGTTTAGACCCCATTTTTTGCTTGCTGATTTTGGCTTGGACTCTGCACCATATGTTTAAAGGGGAAGAATGGCAATTGCTGAATAGAATCTCATTTTTGTTCTTGCAAAGCATCCAAAAGGAGGTGGCAATAAGAGATTTCAAATGGTTAGATGATGATTTCTCTAAGTCAACCCAAGAGCCTGAAGAGCAAGTGCTGAAATGTTGAAATTGGTAGCATGTTAATGTTTGGAAAAGATCCCAGTATCGGGGGGCAAAGTGATATTTAAAGAAGATGTGTTTAATAGTATCATATTTAAGTTGACAAATTGGACATGGGTTGAGAAAACAGTGTAAAACATTACAGAGCCAATCTGAGGTAGGAAGTCTGCCTCATAAGAATTTTCATGGAAATATTTTAATCCAAGAAAGAACATTGAGATTCCACATATCTGCCTAACCATCTCATTCCATAGATTGGTTCAAATGCCTATCTTGGAAAAAATTATATAAGCTTTTCGAGGTAACTATTCCAGATGAGTGAGAGGTCCAAATCCACTTTGTCATTATCGGACTATATAGGGGTGTGGATTCTAGTGATCAGGTTAATCAAATGAGGGTGGAAGAATTCGATCATAATGGGAGTGTGCCAATCATTATTAACCATGAGATAAAAAACATAATGGAATCAATCAATGGCATGAATGTTAAATAAAGTAGGCCATTTTGAAAGTGGAACATTGGAGATCCATGGATCCCACAAGATAGCAGTATTAGAACCCGATCTGATGAGTTTTCTTAGGCCACATTTGGTATTCTCAATGGTTAAGCAAATATTCTTTCAAGTAGAAGTGTTTTTGAAGGAAAGTTTCCAAGGGTGAGGAGTACCATATTTGGCAATTAGGACTTTGATCCAAAGACTTTGGTCCTCATTAACAATAGGGAGCATACGTTTGGCTCCTAGGGAGGATTTTAAAAATTGAGAGGTCTCGAAGCCCGAGACCACCTAAAGATTTGGGGGAAGTAATGTTATTCCAACTAAGGATTCTGAGTTTTCTATGAGATCTAGTGTCTCACTAGAAGAAACTCCTAGGTAGAGAAGAGATTTTCGATAAGAATGGGGAAGTACCATGTTGGATTGCTAAATTTGAATCCTAGAGGTGATTTTATAAATTAGTTTATTTTGGAAAGGTTTAGAGAGATGACAATGAGAAACAGAAGTTCTCATATAAGGCATCGGTCATTTCCCCTCCTTGATACCCAAGGGTTGAGTGATGCGATGATAAGTGTCAGGGGGGCAATGTTTCGGAGAGTAAATTTCTAATTTGGAAGTATTGACTGAAAGACCTATAAGATCAGTGTACAAATCGAGGATTTAGATATAATAGAGCAGGATTTATCATTAGATCTAATAGAGATAAGAACATCATCGACAAACATGAGATGAGAGATATCTACACCTTTGATGTTAAAGACAGATTTTTTTTTTGTGGAAGCAGATTGGTTAAGAAGTGAAGAAAGGATTTGCTGCCTGAGAACAAAAGAATATAGTGAGAGAGGATCCCCTAGAACTGAAAAACTAGTTAGATAATTATCCATTGATGGAGCAGGAGAAATGTGGGGAAGACACACAAGCCAGTATCCAACCAATCATTTTGAGGGGAGAGTTCATTCTAATCAATACTTGATGTAGTTTGATCAGGATTAGGGGGGTTATTACTTTATGAAGTGAACAAATTAGGCTTAGACCGAAAATGAAATTGAGTTAGAAGACTATTTCAGTAATTTTCAAGGTTTTATTACTTTATGAAGTGAACAAATTAGGCTTAGACTGAAAACGCAGACAACATAATAATCTTCGAAACCAATATCTGTCTGATGTTCCTCTAGGCTTCTTTTACTCGTTTGAACTTTGACAAGCACCCAAGATTCTCATGCAAATTGTGATGACACCAAGCCAAGATTTGCATTAAAAAGTATACCATCCATATAATTATTTGCATCGTTCTTGACCTCACAAACATCCTCGATCATGCCGTGACGCAGATCAAATTGTATTTTTCCTTGATTGAGGTACAAAAATTGGGCACAGCTTCGTCATCTGTGATTCTGTGACTTGTAAGTCTTGAAATAACATATTATCACAAAAAAAAAAACAAAATAATGTGACCAAAATCTCGAATCATCCATCACCATAGCTCAGTTTAATCCATCTTATTTTTCCAAATCTAAAATAACGTGAACAAACCAAACAACAAATAGAAGAACTCAAACAGGGAAACAGAAATACTGCGAGCGAACGCACGCGTACCTGTGCAGAGGGTGACGATCCATACATAGAAGAACTCTTTATAGGGGATTCCAAGGCTGGCCTCGTTCTTCCTATCTTGCTTACAACCCGGGCAGTTGTCGAAGTAGACCTTCTTCTTCAGCAAGGGCTCATTGTTCCCCGCCATTTAGTACACCGCCACCCTCAATGCAGGAGAGATGGTGCCAGTGAGTCTGACCTCTGTCACCTATATACTCTGTTACATAGGGGGGAGACGAGAAACGGAACTCCGCAGCATCTCTCTGTCTCTCTCTCTGGGAAGCGTGTCCCAGCAGGATTAATGATAGGGGTCAATGCATTAGCTCACGGCATGCGTCACCTTCGCCTCATCTCTCTTTCCAAGGACAAATGCATGCACGAAAATGGGAATAGAAAACAAGGAAAGAGAAGAAGCCGCAACTTGTAATCATAGATCAGAGGACTCCCAAGAGTTTATGCAAGCGTACTACGTGAGACGAGAGCGAAAGATGAATTCTCCGGAAAAGTCACGTCTGGTATCTCTATTTTTTTTTTATAAATCTTCAAATATTTTATGATGATAAGATAACTGATAAGTGTAGTCCATTCCACCGTATGAATCAAACTAAGGAAAATAAATCCATCTCTCGATTTGGATCAATTGTCACTATGCTAAACCGAAGTAATATCCCTTTAATGTTTAAATAGACTTATAATATTTTTAACATTTTTATTAAAATATTATAAATCTATTCAAAAAATATTACGAGTAAAGTAAATAGACTTAAACCCAATAAAAATCGTCCAACCTCATTGGTTTTGAATAAAATAATAATAATCAAATAGAGATATTTTTTAATAGGCTTATAATATTTTTGACGTCCCCACCGGAACATTATAAATCTAATAAAAAAAATTATAACTATGATAAATGAATTCAAAATCTGATTCATATTTCAAATAAGCATCTTTATTGGTTTAAAAAATAAAGATACTCTACCAATTAGCTTAGGAATAGATGCTCTACCAATTAAAGGCTATTTATAGCTGTAAGCCAAAAATTTAGATTATCAAAATTTTAGGGTACGGGTGGTACTACCGCCAATACTAAATAGTATGATTGTCGCAACCACACTGCAAAGTGGTACCATCATCGAAAAGGCTGACAAAGCATAAGCAATGCTTGTATATTGAGTCAGGTGGTACTATTGCTTGGGCTTGGTAGTATCATTACCTAAGCCTGATTTAGGCCACGGGTTTTTCCTTCTAACGAGCTCAATTTAACTTGGATTTAAGTTAAATGACTTTCTTGATAAGTTGACATTGTTTCAGTCCAATACCAACTTAAATTGACCCACAATGACCTCAATTAAGATTTTAACAAATCAACCATATATCTGAAACATTTACAAAGGTTTTGACATGTTGTACGCTACTCTAACATATCGTTCGATCTTACAACACTTTGTCCGAACCTCCGACACATCACCCTATTTTTCGACATATCAATTATTCCACCAGCATGTCAATTTTTTCCCGATAATATCTGATCCTTTTGGCACAATGCCTGAACCTTTAGCACGAAGTCCAATTTTTGGCACGTCGACCAATCCTCCGGTTCAACATCCAATTTTTGACATGATAATTTTCTGACATAACATTCGACTTTTTTGCTTAACAATTGATTTTTTGATGGTCCTAGTCCATGATCAAAGTATTTTTCTTATGTCTTTTTATCTCAAAAGCATATTAGTCCAACAAACTTATTAATTAGTTTTAATATCAAAATTCAAGATTCAACATATTAATGTTGGGGGGATGTATGTCCTTGCATATTTCCTGACAAATGCTATAAGAAAGCACTAGGATTTTAACATCATTTGGGTAGGTGAGGACTTTAAAAAATTAAAAGCCTCAATAAGAAAAGGATGGAGGGTAAAGAGAAATCATGCCTCTGGTGCGTCTTGTGCAAAATATACGACGTGACATATAAGGTTGATCACCCAACTAAGCAAGTACCAGCTTGAACTCAGATCGAAATGTGATAGCCACACCACATAATGTGTTCACCTTCGAGAGGACAGCCCTTGTTGGCACAGCTAACTCAATTCCATTCGAGGATAAATTTTCTACTGTCGACATTAAATGTGGTGATGGAACCAGTGACCTATCCAAGTCTAAGGCGCTAGAAGAGGAGGACAAGGATGACATCTCTGACCTTGAATCTATTGGAGGAAGTCTAAGTTGGTTGTCTGAACTGTGAGCTAAAGTGAAGAACAATAGTGGTGAAGAGTCACTATTTATAGTGTCTAAGGATGATGGTTCCGTTGCCCATTCGCTCGTTCGGCTTTCGAATGACGCAAAGATAATAGGGTGCTTGGCACCATCAAAAACATCTTTGGACATGTCGCCACCACGATCTTCGTTAGGGGCACACGATATGCGATGAATGTGCCATGTCGACTTATCAACAGATGAGTACGATACATGCTTAGTCGTCATATCACATCAAATTTGGTTAGATTTTCCTACCCGGCAAAGGAAGAGACATGTGCAACATGTGCACACACTTGGCCATGTCAATCTAGTGCGTTCTCTATCATTCTCTATCAATCTATCATGCCCAATCATATCAACTCGATGCACTCTTCCATTCCTCGTCGATCTCCACCACACATGTCCATATTGACTCAGCGTGTTCTCCATCATTCTATGTTTGTCTCTGCCATGTCCGATGCATTCTTCACCATTCTCCATTGATCTCTACTAACCCCGACCATGTCGACTCGATGCATTCTCTATCATTCTCTGTCTGTCTCTACCACGCTCGACCATGTTGGCCTAATGCATTCTCCGCCATTCTCCATTGATCTCTACCACCCTTAGCAGTGTAGGCCCAATGCATTCTTTGCCATTTGTTATTGTACTCAACCATGTCAGTTTTTATACACCCAGATTATTATGCTGACTCTACTTTTCAACCTAAATTTGCTGCTCTTCCGAGAAGTGGGGGGCATGTGATATGGCGAAATTCCGAGAAGTCGGGGGCATGTGATATGGCGAAATTGAGGTGGTCGACATGTCAGCTCCACACATGATACGTTGATCTCATTCAATCAATACGTTAGAAACATGCAGCCAACCAGCCAACCATAATGGTCTACACTTATGGATCATGTGGAGGATGCGTTAGCTCTAGATAGTCAATGAGCCAACAGTCTTCTACCACTCAGACCGACAATGGTAGGTTGATTGATAAGGCCAATTAGCCATCACTGATGAGCGTCATGTGAAAATAATTATTCAATCTTGGGTTCGGCGTTGAGTGACGATGATTTTGGTTGAATTCTAAGCCTTTCATTATCATATGAATTACATAATAAACAAATAAAATGGCTCTAAATGACCTTTACAAAAGGAAGCCCATGTACATACAATGACTCTCTTAATTTGACTAAATTGTTGTATCTGATCGGCTACAAACTCAAGTTTCATAGGGTCATTTGTCGGGAGTGCCCCCGACGTAGTTTTATAGGTTTTGATATACCTTGTTTAACAAGACAAAGTTTCATGAAAACTACTCAAAGAAGAACTAGGTTGGATCTAACTTGGTTTTGAGGTTCAACAATCATAATCTACTCTATCAATACTTAATTCTCTCTAAATCCTTGGTATGTATTTTCCTCCATAACTCTCCCTTATTGGACCTTAAGATATATAACATAATTATAAGAATAAATCCTAATTCACTCGGACTCTTCTTCTTACTTAAAATCATAATCCTAATTTTAATTTTTAAATACTTTGAATCTAATTAGGACTCCTAAATATTTATCAATTATAAACCATACCCTATAATGTTTTCTTCAAAAAAGGAAAAAATAAAAAAAAGCTCATGAGAAATCAATTCACACGTTGGTGGGTAAAATTTCAGTTCTTCAGGAAGGAAACTCACTTTTCTTTTTAATATATCAGTAACGAAGAGGACTAATAAAATAACATTGTGTTCTCTTATTGAAAAAAGAAAAATAACTTTATCGAAATCAACTCACTTATTGATTAGTACAATTAGGTTTATGAGGAAGAAATTTTATATTTTAATTTAATCGATGAAGATAAAATTTGATCTCAAAACCTTGATGTCAAGCATCAAGATTTTTCCCTGCTAAAGTAATTAATTTATAGAATGAAAATTTGAACCTTTAACCAATTCACTTTAGAAATTATCTCAGCCTAATTTAATCTCAACCATATAATAAAAGAGAATTATTGTGATTTATCCTGTCAATCAACTGTGGTTGCCATGGCTTAGATCATCATCTCATCTTCTCGAACTCCTTCGCTGCACCAATCCAACCTCTCTTTATTTTATTGGATCGTTTGCGTCACTGATCACATCACTCTTAGCGGATTCCGCCACCCAGGATTCGTTCCACTTTCTTAACGGGTCCAATCCACCTCTCGAGAAAAACCACTTTGGAAGATCCGCTACCTATTAATTGGCTGCATCTGACCGGACAGGCAATAGCGCATTCGACGCCTGTAATCGCTTGACGTCTTCATTCTTTTCCTGTCTGGTGGCTCGGCTGAGACACAGGAGCATTATCTAGGAGCTAACCTCGATGTTTCAGCCTGCAACGATTGGCTTTTACCGTGCGATTCGAAGCATTATATTTCCGGTCTCTGTTGGTGGAAGGCGGACGTTCATTCATGGCTTCCCTCTCCGCCCATCCGTATGCGTTCCTTGTGGTATCGCTGTTGGTCTTCTTTCTCAGTTTTGGACACGAAGCAGCTACCAGAGGTGCTGCTGCGATGCGCAACCAGGGAGGGATCCACGACTGTGAAGGATTCCAGAACAGCGCCGAGATCCAAGGGCTTGCTCGCTTCGCCGTCGAGGAGTACAACAAGAAGCAGGTAAGGGAGGGCTACAGGCTTCCCTTCTTTAAAGCTTTAATCTTTGTCTGAAAACAGAGTTCTTTGCTGGATTATTAGTGTCAGGAAAAACAAAGGGGAAAGACTTCACCTTATCAATTGGTTGTTAGAAATGATTTCAGAGCTTCAAAATTGTTCAGAGCACACTTAAAAAAGAAATCTCCAATTAATTTCCACGTGTTTTGTTGAACCACCCTTCACCCATGCATGAGAATGAGCGTTAAGACTTAAGAGAATAAAATATAGATCATGTCTCATTTATTAATTTGACCTTTTAGATACAATGATATTGATTGCAAATTTAAGATGATATTTGAGTGAAAGGTTTCTCGAATCTATATTTATTAAAAAAATCTCTGATTAATTTTTGCATATTGGATTTGAGCCATCTACCATCCACATGTGAGGAAAGTGTTAAAAATATAAATTTATGTAAAAACAAATCCATTACATCAAATGGTGTACATGATACTCACATACGGACTCAAACCTGAGACCATTCACTTTTGACTCAAACTTAAGACCTATCACTTGTGCAACAATGCATCAACTAACTCGAATATCTCAAGAGGCTTAAAAATATAAATTAACAGATCATGTGTCATATACGGGTTTAAGCATATAGATGGAATAGTATTGATAAAAGAATAAAAAGATTTGGCTTTTAAGTAAAAGAGTTAGCTTGGAGAAAGAGATAAGCTGAGTAGCCTTGGATTTGATTATTATCCTAGTGCTATTTTCTAGACCATTGGTATAATTTGCTTGTGTATATGTGCACACGCCGTCAATATAATATTGATTTATGTTATGCAGACATCAAATATTGCTCAGGTACACTTATGTTACATGATCTTTCAAAACTATTTACATCACAATTGTTGTAGTTTGAAGTAAAGGCCTTCAATGTTGAAAAACTCTTGCAAAATCCTAACCTTTTTACATGCTGAATGGATTTATATGCCAAGAATTCTTATATATCTATAGGCACATGTCTCGTGTAAAATTGTGAAGACTGTGATCATATGTTATGGAGATATTTTGAAGCATGTAAATGTTTTGGATATTTGATTTTGGAATTCCTATGTGAGATTCCGGAAATTTTATAAACTAACCCATCATCGGGTTAAGTGTAGGCTTACTTCACTTAAATGTCATAATCTTTTAAATGGATCAATATGAACAGTTTGAATATTGATTTTGAATCTCCTATATGAGGTCTGAAGATTTTATGAACTTCTTGACTGACATTAAGGTCGACCTGAGACTAGATGATCGTGCTCTCATAATTTTTCTACTATTTGTTCCTAAATGCTACACGTAATTTATCTTTTTTTTGTTTTGTTTTCAATTAGTTGATTGGGTGTTATTGGTGCAGAATGCTCTTCTTGAGTTCATACAGTTATTGAAGGCAAAAGAGCAAGTTGTGGCAGGTAAAATGTACTACCTGACTGTTCAAACCAATAATTGTGGAAAAAAGAATCATTATGAGGCTAAAGTCTGGGTCAAGCCATGGATGAACTTCATGGAACTTCAGGACTTTAAACTGTTGGATGATGACCCCAGTGCATGGCAAGGTAATGAATGCTGCTTTCTTTCATTATAATTTTGTGTGTTATTGATTATACCTTTTGGTTTATGCATTTCACTAAAGAATGTATTGAATACAATGACTTTGAGAGACTATTTTTTCTCCTTTTCCCCAATTTTTCCCCAGATATTCTGTTCAATAAAGCTTGATTAGACGATATTTTTTCCATGATATCATGTATATTTTAACCGTTCCAAATTTCCTCCTTTTGAAATAAAAAATTATAATGTAAAGTAACGGACTACATGTATACGGAGAGATAGTGCTTGCTCCAGTGTTGATTCTCGTGAGAATGATTGAAATTACACAGTTGATTATGGCTCTCTTTGTGACCTAAATTCTCATATCATTTTGATTCACTAGCATGGTGAAACTAAATACTAGCCCCATTCATGTTATTTTTGTTTACCCTATCTGAGATGATAATGGAATTATCCTCTTCGTTCAAATCCTAAGAGAACAGAGTTCCATTATATTATTATATTTGTGAACCACTTGACGAAAGCCACAGCCTTTTACTTTCCAAAGTCCTAATTGTTTACGATCAGAGCCATGTTTATGATTGCAATATGCCTTGAGGACACGACTCTGTTTATCCATGCTGCTTTCGTTATCTGAGATATGTGCACATGCATGCATACTCATGACAGATGCCTAGTGAATATCATCACTTTGTGCCCGGCACCATAAGTTTCTTTTTTCTTTACAAAATTCTGCGAGGATTAATTTCAAAACATCGAGATGAGTGCAGGAAGCAAATGAAAGATTGAAGGAACCCAAAGAGAGGGGAAGATAAGAACAAATGAAGCAGGACAGAAAAAAATATAAAAAGCAAACAAAAAGGAATATACCATACATTATCCATGAATTCAGTTATATTTGTTATTAGGTAGATCAAATCTTGCTTTCTTATGCAACCCTTTGATTCTAAAAGTAAGTTCACAAATTGGAAATATATTATGCTCAATATTAAAGGTGCAGATTAGCCATTGTTCATTTTGAGTAGATTTTGACCGTTTAGTGGTGATAAAAAAGCATGTATTGTAGAATTCATGTTCTAATGTTTAAGGTGATTTATGAAGAGAAAAATCATTAGAATTGATCGGATAGGGAATTTAGTTTGATTGATTTTGCATGTTTGCTGATCTTGAATATAATAACAGCAGTCTTCAGAATTTACCAATAGTGACTAGAAGCCTCCCTCCATATGCATGGCATGTGAGATCCTAGGAAAGAATGTCTTTGGTTCTCCCAAAACTATTTCTTGGTTGAGTTGGGAAGATTGCCTTGATCATGTCCGAGGACAAAGGCTGGGCCATCTCTCTGCTTGCTGTATAATAGTAATGATGTCCATTTGCTTGATCGGTGTATACCTGGATTGTCGATGGTTCTGGTACATCACATTTTTGGTCAAGAGAAAGCAACACATGCTGCATGGTATCAGAGTCCCAAGTTATCAACCAGGAGAAAAGCTGTCTTTTATTACCCAGATATATTTCTGTGTTTTTTCACTTCATAAACATGTTGTACTCTTTTGAAACTTTGGTTTTCGTTTCTTCTGTAAGTGCAAATGCCAAAAGTCTGCTTTCCTACTTTTCTTCTTGCAGGTGATTGAAAACTCTTTCAAGTCAGGGAACTTCATAATGTTACCTGTCCAAAAATAAAGCAGCACTTTGGACTGCAAGCATGCATGAATCAGATGTTAGGACGGTTTGCCTAGTAAAGATACCTGATACTTGTCAAATAAATGTTGATATAAATTGTCACAATGAACACAAACATTGATGGTTATGGAAAGTAGTGTAAATTGTGATAACAGAGAAGCAAAGGTTATATGTGTGCACTGCTGTTGGTTTAGTTTTGAGAGTGTTCTTCTGTTTGAACTGTATTAAGTTGTACACATTATAGACTGGAAACTTTTTAACTCTCATCTTCGGTTGCCTTTTGCTGCTTCTACATGAAAATTGATGCAAGATAACTACTTTCTGATTCAGGCTTTTGCTGTCTACGTTATCTTCTGATAACTTCTTCCTTGTTAGCCGAAACTTACAACCTCGTGGAATTGGCCATTATTACCTTTGATGTTATATGGTTGATCAATTTCGTCGATATCCAGCGGCATCTTGTTTCATTTGTGGTTGGCAATTAGTTTGGACTCGATGAAGTTGCTACAGCAGGGAATATTTTCATATAGTTGTATGATGATCCATCTTGAAGCGTTTAAAAGAAATCAGTTTAAGCTATACTTGTTCTTAATTCTTAGCCTAAACAAGCAAACAATTCCAACCATTACACAATTAATTGAACTGACTTGAAGAAAAAATGTAGACCAGCATAACATTTCTGTTGAGCATTGAGCGTGAACAAATAGAATGTGTTGCTCTTAAAACTATTTTTGTTCAATGATCATTAGATGAGACATGATCCTAATTTACATTCTTAATACTTTCCTTCACATGTGATTGAGATATGTTTAAATTAACACATGAAAATTAATTGAGATTTCTTTGATAAGATTGGTCTAGATAATACAGCACGTTCGATCTTTGATAAGTCAATATGATACATCACCATGTATATCACTATCAAGTTAATATTTTAAGTGTAAATTTATCAAATACTTAATTTTTGACACAATAAAAATTGCATTAGATTCTGGAATTAAGATCCTTAGCAACATATGTGCTATGTACTTCTTATCCCATCAATCATATGTTTTTTTTTGGAAAGTACATATAGCACTTCTAAAGTGAAAGACAGACAGAAAATAATCATGAAAAACATTCAATTAAAAAGAATAAAAATTACCAAAGGAGCAGCCAAGCACACATTTCAATATTTCATATCATTGGTGATATGGACTTTGCAATTATTTTATAGTTATTTAGAACATTTTCCGATACATTGTAGATGTTTATAGTTTCTTTCATTAGGAATACAAACATTTATTATTCCGACTAAACCCTTGTAGGAGGGAAGCCCTCTGGTAGATAACAAAGCTAATGGGTTCACTTTTGACATCTCACATTAAATCTTAGAGGCATCTGCGGTGATCTTGCTCAACGCAGTGGCAGTTTTTGATCCAGACTGACGCCCCAAATGCGTGCAAATGAAGTCCCCAACAGCCATAAGCTTGCCTAAATCCACATTGGTTTTTATGCCAAGGCCATTAAGCATGTAGACTACGTCTTCCGTAGCAACATTCCCAGAAGCTCCCTTGGCATAGGGGCATCCACCCAGACCAGCGACAGATGAGTCAATTACACTGATTCCCATCTGTTAAAAGTATTCAATAAGCCACATCAAATTTTAGCAGAAAATGGAAGCACATTCATACATAAGAAAGACTGGATGAGTCTGCTTACTTGGAGGGCAACCAAAATATTTGAGAGTGATTGGCCATAAGTATCATGAAAATGAACTGCAATCTTGTCGACTGGAATGAGAGACATTACAGCTTCAAGCATTGGAATCACAGTGCCTAAGTACAAGAAATTTCATGTAAGATGCAATGGACTTTTGGTCGGTTGTAACCTCTTGAGATCTGGACTTACAAGGAATTATATTATAGAATGATTATGTTTCTACAATGATGATTATGATAACAGGCAGATGATGTAAGTAGAATTTTCCAAAGTTCTTTTCTTTTGTATAAATTTAACTTGGACAGGAACTTGAGCCTGCTAATAATAGATTATGACTATTTCACAGGAGCCCAATTTTGAGGGCTGAAATCACAAACAGGACAATCTTATCACAAGGTAATTTTTTGTGCTTCCAGGTATTAAGTTGTAATGCTGTCCTTCATCGACGATGCTTCGTTGTCACAGTTTCAGCTTTGGTTGGCATTGCAGCTGTGGTGGTACAGCTTCTGTTGTGATGCACGATGGACACTGCCCAAGGATCCAAATCTGCTGCCACCTGCTTCCAGAAGGTTATATTCTAATAGGATCATTTTTTCTCCAAATCCTATTACCCATGTTCATTATGCACTAAGGGTGTTTTCGGAACTATGGGAGAATGGATTAGTTGTAGAAATTAATCTCCCAAATGATAGTCAAGAAATTTAAAGTATTGTGCTAGATTTAGTTGGGTATTAGGTTGTACCTCAAATTTCTGTTAATGGTTAAAACATTGGTAGCTTCCATAATGCACTTGCTACCAGACAACTTCAGAAACTTCCAAGGAAGAGCTCATTATAGTTATATTGGTGATTCTAATCACTGGAATAGATCATATGTGATTTTGTCAAGTTCTTAGGATTGATCATATATTATGATACTTTTCGTTTTGTACACTGGAAGAGGTAAATCAATATAGTGGATGTTATAATATAAGTTTGCAAGCATGTCAAAAGTCATTTTTATCTCGCATGTCAACGGTAAGATCAGTTTCCAGGAAACTTTAGAGTTGCAGATGATGGTTTTGAAAATTCATTTTGTTTATTTGTCATCATCCAACTTCCGAGATCCTTTTGCACACAGAACAGTCATGGATAAAAGTGAACTTTTATAAACTCCTCTAAACAAATTTAATTTAGCTGATCAAACTTAGATTTAGTCAACATCTAATAATGCATTATCTTATCATGCAAGTTTCTCATAGTTGTATTGTGCTGTTACAACATTAAAATTCTAAATAGGAAGAGATCAAGCATTCTGAACAAAATATTAAAGTTTTAAGCTGGCCATGCTTCATATATTTCATCTAATCTTGTTGGTGAACATTTAATATCAACAACATGGTGCTAAGAAACCAAAATGGAAAATAATCCTTCATTCTTAGGCAGCATATACTGTAGATTCTTTTGTACTTGCTATAATTTACATACTACATGACAATGGAAGTGGGCAAATCTTACCTGGAGTACCAACTCCGATGGTATCACCAAGAGAAATCTCACAGCATCCCATGTCATAAAGCTCTTTTGCCACATATGCCACCTTTTCTGCAGGCACTGCTCCCTCAACAGGACACCCGACGACACAAGATACATACCTATAATTAAAAATTGTCAAGACCCCGTGCATTCGTAACAAATAAAAATGTGACAAATGTCAAGTCCCTCAACAGGACACCCACGACACAAGATACATACCTATAATTAAAATTTGTCAAGTCCTGATGCATTCATAACAAATAAAAATGTTGCAAATGCCATAAATTGATCTACAGTAACATGCATAAATATGATAATAGCAACATCGACAAGTGAAATGTAAAGTTCTGTAACACCAAAGATTTAATTTAAGGTGCATAAATTCAGTGACTAATCAGTCATAGCAGGGTGTCAGCAAATGAGCATTGAAGTTTGAAGATAACACTCAGGAATACAGCTACCACGGGAAATTGTTAAGGCAAGATCCTTCATTATCCATAGTTCTAATCAGTAATATCTCACAAGAAGAACATTATGCAACACTTTGAGAAGGTTGCTATAGTCAGTTATACAGCCAAGTCAAAAATAGTGTGATTTTCTCTATAATATGCATTGGACTGCATTAGGAAGGTTTCTTTCAGACAGTCTTCAGTTGAATTAAAGAAGTTATTGGCTGGAAATTGAGAGAAGAAAATACACAATGGTTTTCTTCTTCTTTCCTGTTTATTTGTGAGTGAAAGACCTATATGTGCCTTCACCAGTACACTAGCAAGAGGACTTTAGTAATGTACAGATTTATGATTTGTTAATGAAAAATTGAATTACTTTATGGACAGTAGCCTACTTATCTCCCCATTAGTGTTCTCTCTTTCTTCCTTAAATCTTCTCTCTCTCATCTCCTACTACCAGCTGACCTTATCATCCTCTTCTCTGTTTCACATCAAACCCGCAAATTGGGCCAAGAGGAGACACAGAGTTGGATGGGTGCTTCAATTTAAGCAACATATTGGGCTGTCTTGAAGGAAATAAATTCTAGGGGATCTTAATCCCTCGCCCACCTGCCTCCTCAATGCTGTCCATTACTTACTCTGTTCCTATAGGCTCCTAGATTTTTTTTTAATGCCTTATTACTTTGACAACACTATTTGTTGCCCACATCAATCTTTCCATGAAGTATAACCTATTCCTACTCTCTCCATGTTGTTTTTTTTTTGTTTATATTTTGGAATTTGGATTATCCTTCTATTTCTTTTAGCTGTTTGTAGATGGCTTATAATATCTATTTTTCTCTCTCTCAATGAAAAACAGATTATCTGCCTTTGACGATTTTGGCTGAAATAAGAAAGACAAACTTAAAAACAAATGGATAATATAGATTATAGAATATTTGGAGAATATGCAGATAGATATCAAAGAAATTTTTTTAAAAAGCTAATAGCTGATATGACTAAGCACATGAAATTATACTATTGAAAATTAGGAGGAAGATCATACCCACGAACAGGTACTGCAAGTTTTTTTGCAGCAGTAACAACTTTATGATAACGGGTAAGGCTTTCTTCAATGCTGCAATTGATGTTGGACTTAGAAAAAGACTCCGAAGCTGATGCAAAAATTGCAACTTCCTTTGCACCAGCTGCAATAGCTGCTTCAAATCCCTGAATATTGCATATGTAACAAAAGAACTATTATTCGGATAAAAATAATTCTAATGTACATGCTTAGGTTCAGACTTACTTTCAGATTTGGAGTTAAGACAGGAAATCTGGCACCATGTACATCTTTAATTCCTTGCATGACATCCTTTGCATCTGCTAGCTGTAGTTAAAATACCAAATAAATCTATTACAACTTCAATTGTTAATATTACAACAGAATATTCTGGTTCTTGTGACAACAATTGTGGAAATTTAGCATTCTCACACAGTATGCACTGTGCACATAGTTTCTCCTACTAACTAGCAGAACACTTGGAATTTAGTCTTTGTAGGGCTCCACACTAGGGAGGAAAAAAGGAAAAAAGAAAAAAGTAGCTGCTACTCAACATTCAGGTGAGCATATATGACAATTTCATTAACAATATAACCTTTTTACGACAAGGAATTTAGTATGTCTGGAAAGTTTTTCCAGGACTGAGACACTAATGATCCACCAAAAAACCTACTTACAAGGGTGATTCTCATTTCTCAGTACACATATTACATATTATAGGAAATGTATTCAGCAAGAACACAGAGTCCTGATCTCTATGCAGTTTAGTATTTTACTGCATGATCAGTTGTTTTTGTGATATTATTTATTTTAATTGTAAAAGAGACAATCATTCAATATGGTGCTAGTGAGATATATTTGCAAGTCCAATAGGTTCCATTTTTGAATTTCCATTGCTGTTTTTGAGTTCATAGATAATAGGGAGATAAAGCCAAACTAAAGAAGTTAGATTTCAACAGAATCGTTGACGCTTCAATGATGAGACAAGAAAGTGGTATTACCTGTGGAACCCATTTCGGAGAAACAAAACTTGAGGCCTCAATAACAGATAAGCCACAAGAAGCCAGCTTTTGTATCAATTCAACCTTTACAGCTGTAGGTACACTGACCTTCTCATTTTGCAAACCATCTCTAGGCCCAACTTCTACTATTTTCACATATCTTGGCATACCTCTGAAGAACTGCAAGTGACAGATTAAATAATTCTCAATTACTTGGTTCACCTCTACGACACAAACAAGCATAACAGCATTTTTAACAGGTCAAAATTTGAGGATACCTATTGGGAATAGCCAAGAGCCACAAAATCTAAAAATAAGATAATCATACTAATTAATAAATAGACTCACGAAACAAAAGTAAGCTACTCAGAAACACATTGTTGTGTATAAAGAGTATGCCACCTCCACTTATTTGTTGATTCCTTACTAAATAGCTTGAGCAATCACTCATAAATAAAAGTGGAAAAGGTCACTCTGGCCCATGGTTTGAACTTGGCTTACCTCCATAAAATTAGTTGATTACAAAGTTTAATTAACTTTGAAGATGGTTAAAAAAGGAACTTTGGATCCAATAGCAGCCTCAAGGTAATTTCTAACTTGAACCAATTATGTTGAGAACTAAATCTTCATGCAAGTACCAACCAATTTAGAAAAATATTATATTAATCCACTGTATGAAATCCTATTTTTAGTAGGCTAGTTTAAGGAAACACAAAGTGAATTAAGGAAAATGCTTTATAGTGTAACTATAAGCTGAGATTTATTTTCTAAAATTTTAAGGGATATTTTGCATAAGATGTGTTATGACAAATTAAAGAAAGTGATTATGTTGTCTTCTTACAAGTTCCAAATACACATCTGTTAACATTAGTAAAATAATTAGTATGCAACTTTCAACTTGATTTCCAGGCTGAAAATTGACAGCATATGGTCATAAATTTGGCTTATGATTTAGTTTTTGATAGAAAGCAGAAAAATCATTGTTAAGGAACTTTTTTCAAGAACTATAGATCGAGTCCAGATCTGAACCATTCTTTTATTTATAAATTAAAACTAACCCAGAATGATTAAAGAATACTATGTATTCCAATTATCAAAATTTGTTGTTCAAGTAATTAATCTGAGAGCACTTGCAAAATTCTATCATGGCACTTGGAAAACTTATATACAGGATCTAATGCAATTCCTAAAGCAAGAGGATGTATATTGAAAATCTCATATCTGCCATGAAACACAGACCTTGTTGAATATCATCTGATTCCTATCATTACGTGATGTTTTCCAAATTAAGGAATCTCTGGAAAACATATCCCTTGGTTTTCTTCTCCAACCATATTCTTCACTGAAAGAAGAAAAAAGATATGGCTGATTTCAGAAGTAACCAACAGAAAATAAATATTAAGATGAAGTCAGACAACCAGAAAAATATATAGTAAACTATGGAGGCGAAAAATCAATTGCATAATAAGTTGACAATAGTTCTACAAATGAATAGCTAAAAGCAAATATTCCAACATTATATCTTATCTATTTAATGGTCCATAAAGTTTGATTACAATGGCACACTAGAAAGAGAAAAGAACATGAACATCTGGGAGTGGATACTAAAATACGATTGGTATTGGAAATTTATAGTAAAAGAGTATAGTAAATAAGCAATCAATGAACTAGCTGGGCAATTGAATAATTGCTCTTTGTACGACAGATATGCAAACAAAAAAAAAAAACTATCTGAATGTGTCACCACATCATAAGTATCAAGGATTACTGACTAACTATCATAGATAATTCAAGTAGAAAATATTTCTTTTACATTTAACAGGTTAAGTGGTGCATTTGAGATTAAAATTGAAAAATACAATAAGATATCAATGGGATAAAAAAAAACATGTTACTCAGCCCTTTGGATATGTACAATAATGAATCCAAAACATAAATATGTTGGAATAGAACAATAATGATTTGAGCAATCATAGGACAGACTTTAAGTCATGTAGAACTGCATTCTAAGAAGAATGGTATAGAAAATCACATAGTTAAGTCATAGTATAGCTAGGATAATTTTCTTATGATCTTATGAAAAAAATGACAAAGGGAATTATAAGGAACTCCTGATGATCCTCTTTTGTTATGAAAATAGATGTGAGGTATTCGAGAGATTATACCTTGCAAACTACTGTTTGGACTTTCTGCTTATATAATTGGTGCATATATTTTTATGCACATACCCATATTTGTTGCTCTATCAAAAATAGATTGCTTTTTCACCAAAAACTTACATTATTGTTCAAAATAAAGTGAATGTTACAAGGTCCAATTCAAAAGTAGTTTTAAATTTTTATTCTATAGTTTCATGTGACTGGTGAATACCAATAACCAAAGCAAATACTAGAACAGAAACAAATAAAATCATTTTCCAACCGTTAATAAAACACATGCCTTATAAGGTGAAATACATTAATATTCACTGATTGATACCTGTAGAGACAAACTTTAGGCATATCATAAAAAGAAAAATAATACTTATTGGAAGGCATAATTTAGTTATTACATATAACTGTAATGAACTACATGAATCTGTGAAGGGTCTAAATTAGTTTTAATGGGGAAATATTAATTGTTAGAAGAGAAATTTTCATCATCACATAAACTGTGACTTTTTCTCATAGTTTTCTTGTGCTTCTGTATTATATAAATAATACCTATCTGATGCCATAAGTGCTACAGATGGAGAATGCAACCTATAATTCAACTAAACTGGACAAAACTTAATATCACAAATTCACAATACAAGCTATTGAGATGGCAGGAACATCCTGATGGATCTAAACCTAACAATAGTGTATTATCAAGCTAGTTCAACACACATCACTCTTAAGCCATTTTGGGTGTTGTACTACAGAGTCCATATCACATGCACCAAATCCCAAAACCCTGTGAGTTTTTTTTTTTGTCTAAAAATCTCTGAGCTAAGGGGAAAAGAATTAGCAAGGAAGAAGTAGATTTATAATTTACATCATTCAAAAGTCAAACAGTATATACTAAATACCACGAGGATAAATAACATTCATGTTGCTACAGATCAACAATAGACAGGGACTTAACAGTAGAACTTACGTGCAACTGTTAGAAGAGCTACACTCTCTGCCTTCAATTAGGCAATTACTCATTTCCATTTCATCGACCCTGGGCCTGCAAGCAGTGGAAGTGCAGTGTTGAAGCCTACCTATAACACTCAATCTTGGCATGTTGTCGAGACCCAAAGGCTCCTCTAAGCTTGACATTTTGAACTGGATGTCAAAATGAAAATCAGAACAAATAACAAAAGAAGTTGTCCACCACCCACAGAAAAATGTTCTAAGTCAGAATATATCAAAAGCGTGCATGCCACTTTTATGCACTTGAGAAAATAAACAATATAGAATACTTGATGTACTCGATCAATATTCCAAACAAATTGAATTAGAATTAACAATAGTCTGTCAGAAACTATTGAAAATCTACAGCAATCATACAAGTTCCCAACAACATAAAATTGAATTCAAAGGTAACAGGCACATCATTATCATGTAACAGCAAACATTTAAAAGTTGCATTGATATTATCATGATACAGTTGTCAGAGACAGAAAGCCAAACAAGTAAAGTCATCCATGTGATAAAAATGGAGATGAAGAAATTAATGCTTTCATATGCAAGTGAGACCATAATGTGATGGTCTCTCTTTTTTTTTTTTTTTGAAGGCAACACAACTCTTCTTGTATCACAATTTTAATTCTAAGCTGAAGATAGCACCAGCATGGGATAAGATAATGCAGTTGAAAGATGTTAGGAAATGTGCAAAGAAGACTTAAACAAGTCCAGCAACAGAAAAGATAAGCCAAATCATATTTCACGTGCTACAAGGAAGAGAAAGATCACAGAAATGTGTTCAAATATAGCAAGAAAAAATATGACAAACTCAGAATTAGCAGATGAAAATCTTAGTAGAGATGAATGACAGAAAATAACTCACATAGTTAACAGCATATAGTTGGCACCCCAAAACCCAAATTGCTTTGGTTCATTGAGAAATTTCTCAGACAATCAAACAGTCAATGGCGAAATTATCATGCACATTTTCTAGATAATTCATGATGTCAAGTTGTTGCAAATATTATCTCTAATCATGTTACAGGCAGGCTCGTATCAAAATTTTGAAGTCCAAGACAATAGAAAACTAAACCTCATGCACACACTAACCTATTACTCAATGCACCATAACAGTAGCAAAGTACAGGATCCTAAGATACCAAATGAGACAAAGGGGTTATTATTTGTTGCAAACCATTGCTATGCAGCAACTTATGAATAACCTTATTTGAATAGTCTCAAACAGCAGTATGTACTAACCTGATTGATATACTAGAATGATTCTCTGATGTAACAGAATGCAGTTAATTTTCCTAGTTGTCATTAATCACACCTGATAGGCCAATCTGTTATCTAGCAATGCCACATGACAAAAATCTAGAGTGTTAAAAGTGAAGCAAAAGCTCCTCATATAGTCGTATTAAAAATTAAATCATCTACAAGGTTGTGAGAACTTCACTAATATTGTATATCTAAATACAGACCGACCAGTGTAACACTCTTATTGCTTCCTTCCTGGAACCCGATCAGATGATAATCTTTCTGTATCCTAACCACACAATGATCTCATGCAGCATCAACCGAAATGTCATTCAAACAGTCAGTGAAAAAGGACAGAAAAGTATCAGGAAAAGCCGACTCAATTCAATCTTATATGATCAAAATCCAACAAGATAAAATCCACAATATCTGCCAGAATTTCAAACAATTCGCGCTTGGTTACGATATGCAACTCCAACAATTGATTCGCCAAAGAAAGATGCAATTAGACATGTTGACAACAGAATCCAAGAAGTCAAAAGAAAGGAAATATCACGTTGAATTCAAATAAAAGAAGACAATTCCGGCTTACGTGAAATGAAGAGGGCAGGAAAGGAAGGGGCGGAAGAAAGAGAACGAATCGGAGTTATTTCCTTTCCCAATCAATAAATTGGGGAAATTCTTCTATGCTTTGATTTGAAGCGATCGATCGGGAGACGGAAACGGGTAGGTTGGGAGAAGGGAGTTAGCTGAGCGGTAACTCTCGCTCGCTTCTCCAATAAAATCGCTACCTCATAATGCAAACGTGTGTAAGAGGCAGAAGGGTGGTTGGGTTAGGTGGGGTGGAAGAGGAACGGACGCGTCGGCGACTCCGCGCCTTCATTACGACAAATTGTGGGAATATTATTTAGCTTCGTTGGATCTGAGCCGTTGATCCGCGAGGCTCGTCGGTGTCGTCATCCATTAGACGTTGGATGCGACGGTCAGGTTGTCCAAGTCAGAGGTTGGGGCGCTATGTTTGACCGATCAAATGTCAGGGCTCCTGTCGTGAACCACGGAAGAAGTGCCACGTGTACGCCGGGAGGGCCTTTGATTTGGTTGCTTTGTCGATCACACGTCCGTGGTTTAATGCATCGGAGAATTGTGGCGTTGCGGTGGGGAGAAGCATCCACCGCACCTTCGGATCCTTCGGATACTGGGAAAGCATGGTAGGTTCCAGAAGATCCAATTATTATTGGCCACCAAATTCTTCAGAAAAATTCTTTTTTTTTTCTTTTTTATTCTTCGCAGAGCACCATTATTATTTTTTTTTTTAGAACTTCTTGCATAACACCTTATTTTTTTAAATAATATCAAAATAATTTTAAGGACGATTTTTCTAAAAAATATTCATATTTTAGGTTTTTTCAATTTTACCCCTCATTTTATTTTTTTCAAATAGTATTTCTAATTTTAAAAATATTCAAATTGCTTATCAAAAATTTTTTGACCAGTTATAACGTTTTCATCATTACAATAAAAATATTGTAAAGCTTACTTAAAAACCTAAATTATAAACCTAAAAATATGATATTATAATGATATATGAGCAATGACAATTAAAGAGACATGATATGATTGATGTTAACGTTTATAGTGTAATAAATATATCAATAAAAATTATAAATGAGACCAATGAAAATACTATAACAGTTAAAATTTAACAAAAATAATTAGAGGAAGAATTTAACAAAAACTTTTTTGAGGGATATTTTTATTTTTAAATAAATTAGAGATATTGTTGGGGAAAAAAAAAGCAAAGTATCTTTTGAGAAATCGCCCTACTTTTAACTATAAATAAGAGTTTTTTGAAAGAAAAATTCGGAAAATAGTATATGATTACTGTCAATGCTTAAAAACTATTTAAAAAATTGAAGAAATAATGAGAGGGCTGTTCTATGTTTCTACAACAATTTAGACCAAGACTTGCTTTAAGAATACCATATCCAATTAGAATGGGATATATTTGATCAGAATTAGTCATATTTTATTTGAACTTTCATATTTATTTCAAAAGAGATTTACCCACTTTATTAAAGGCTGTAAGGAATCTTTATAGTCTTGGATGGCTGTAAGGAATCTTTATTTGATTTGAACTTTCATATATATAACAATAAGATTGCACTTAATAAGGAATCATCATATAAGTATCATTAGAAGCACTTAATAGATTGACTCAGATAATTTTATGCATATAATCATCCTAGCTGTTGTGGAATAACTCAAACTTGTGAATGTGTAGTGTTATCTCATTTAGTGTTCTTCAAGATCCATTGATGAGGATGGAATAACTCCAAAATTACCCGATTTATATTAATAAATATAGTATTTATTATTATTTTTTACCATGCCCTAATAGGAAGAGACTATAAGAATATATGTTGCTGGCAAATGCTTTGATTAAATTTATAGGATGATTATATGTGTAAAATTATCAGAGTCAATCTATTAAGTGTAATCTTTTTTACTATTTAGGTATCATAAAATCATATTTTTGGTTTATAAAAAACATAAAATTTTTACAAGAGATTACTCTTCCAAATCATTGTTTTCATTGATTAGACCAAGATTTCTAAATCCCTATAAATAATAAAACTTATCAATAAATGAAAGAAAAGTAATAACATTTTCTCTCTTTTCTAGTCTCTTTCTTTTGTTTTTCTCCTCCCTAATCTCTTATCTCACTTTTTTTCTTCCTCTCATTTTTAATCTCACTCCTCTCTTATTTTCTCTCTATTTCTTCACCCTATTCTACATCAATTAGTGTCAAAGCAATCAATAAACTTACCTGGGTCTCAACTAACAACAAAGGCTTTAACACTCATAGTCCTTATACCTCCAACCGAAATACTTATATGTAAAGTTGGACTTTGGGGCCAATATTCTTACGAGATTGGTGGATTGCTCAGCTCTTGATTACCGATAATTCTTGTAAACCTCATTAATATTTTTGTTAGAAAAAATCATATATTTTATTAAAACATACTTTTTAACGCTTCTTCTTCCCTCGTTTTCTTTTTTTCTTTTTCTCTTCGTCACCCTCTTTCTCTCCTTTAGTTATAACTATAGAACTATTAAAATTTAAACTCTTATAAAACACCTATTTACAATCATTCTTCAATAATTCTTAATAACTAAACTTCGGACCTTAACAATGAATTTCTAGAACATGCTAGAAATTTATAAACCTGAATAATGGGCCAGTCAAAATGAATGTACTACACTTTAATGATAGGTTTGATCCTAAAGATATTTATTGACTAGTTAAATAGTCTAGAGAACTACTTTAAGTGGTATAGAATAATTGATATTGAATGTGTGAGATTTGTAAAATTGAAACCGGTAGACTCTATTTGGAATTATTGGTAATGTGTTCAACCTAATATTGAGTACCTTGAGAGCCTCTCGTTATTTAATGGAATGTTATGATATAAAAACTTAAGAAAAAATATTTGCTAATCAACTTCCAAACTAACTGATTGAATAATTATAAGCCTTAAACTATTGAATTCTAGTGTGGTAGACTATTTAGTCCGATTTGAAAAACTTTTACATAGGTGTGAAATTGAGAAAGAGCAAATCATGGATTAAGATTTAACATATAAGATAAGTCTTCCGTAGTTCCGCAACACCATGGAGGATACTTTCGAACGAGCCCTTAAGATTGAGATATACTTTGAAATTTATCCAGTTCGTCAAATATCTTCTCAGTCTCTTGTCCACAGAACCATTTCTCAATCTGCCCTAAATAGTAACTTTGCAAAGAAAAAAATTCTCATTACTCGCAATAGTCCTAGCCCAATTGTAAATCATCCAACTCATTTTGGTTGTCAAATTAGTTTATCTTCAATCTAATATTACTATTATCATAATAGATATCATATTGTCTTTCATTGTCCTTGACATACCCTTGTCTTAAAATAAGAACTAGAGGATCAAATCCAAGAAATAGACCAAGTAGTTAAACCTAAAGCTTACTCAAGTTATAAAAATGAACTAGAAATTAAAGATGCTTATGTCAATATTGTCCTTATCATTCTTACTAGTGATTCTAATGAATGGAAGATGAAAAGTATTTTTCATACTTTTATCCAAAATGAAGAGAGAACTTGTAAGTTGGTTATAGATAGGGGTAGTACTATAAATATAATCTGAAAATTTATTATGAAGAGACTATACTTAAAGTAGAGTCACAGTTGACATCATTTAAAGTAGCCTTAGTTGACAAAACCATTTTACCTGAGTGATGCTTGGTACCAATTAAAATAAGTAATTATTAAGATGAGATTTGCTATGATGTTTTACTAATAGATGTTGCCCACATTCTTCTAAGTTGACCTTAGTTGTATGACCTCGATATTACCAAATATGAGAGAAAACATCTATGCATTTCGTTATACAGGTAAAAATATTATCTTGTGACTAGCAAAACTATTAGAAAAATACAAACCATAAACTTCTAAATCTCTTCTACAAGCTTCAACTAGCAAGAGGCTCCACTTACTAAACTTTAAGTAAAGAGTCTAGATAATAAATTTTGTGTAGCCAATAGACAAATTCATAGCCCTTATGCTACTTTGGGCCTAAATCCTAAGATTAAATCATTGTTAGATAAATTTTCTAATATCATGCCTTCGAAATTACCTAGTGAACTATAACTCATATGAAAAACCCAATATGTCATTGACCTTGCACCCCTCTCACCTGGCTATCGTGCTTCAGAACTAGCCTACTCCTTCGCTTATCATATCCATGATTTGCATGCCGAAATTTAATGTAAAATTATCCAAAGTAATGAAAGTTATAAACTTATTGTTAATACACATTATAGAATTCAAGAGTTTCAAATTTAATATTATGTCTTGATTCACATTCGTTCTAAGAGAATTCCCAAAAACTCATTCAACAAATTATATGTCTGAGCGATTAGTCATCTCTCCATTATCCAAAAATTAGGATTTAATACATATATGCTCATTTTGCCTTCTAGCTTAAATCTAATCTAGTTTTCAATGTTGAGGATTTGCTTTGTATTATTGATACTTTTGAGTCTCCTTCTATGTCTATTAGTATTCCGGTTGGTGATAATCCTCTAAGGGCATCAACTCTTTTACAATATAGAGATGACATAGAGATCATTCTTGATGACAATCTTGTTGTATGTACTACTAGTATCACTTAACATTTTTTTGTCAAATGGCATGATCATCTAACTTCTGATGTTACTTGAATTACTTTGGAGAAACTTGTGATTTTATACTAGACTTATGGACTAGTTGTTTGTAAATCATTCTTCGAGGTTGAATAATTTTCCATCGAGTGAGAATAATGGAGAATCATCTCGTTTTATAAAGAATTTTAGAAAGTTTATTTTACCTAAAAAATTTAGTAAAAAATTATCAATTATTTCACCTAGAAAATTTAAGAGTTGTGTGAAAAATTAAATTTTTTTTCTTGGATTTTTTAGGTATTAACCTTGAACTCTCCTTTTGTATTAAGTATACTTTTTACTATATAGATATTATAAAAAATATATTTTTAATTTCTAAAGGGTATACAAGTTCTCTAAGAGTTTAGTTTTAAGAATCATCACCTTAATTGGATCTTCCTCTCTCTTCGAGTCTTTTCTATTTCCTCTCTCTCTCTCTCTCTCTCTCTCTCTCTCTCTATTTCTTTGCCCTGTTCAACCGATTCAAAAATCATACCTCCACAAGGTAATTGCAAAAAATTTTGAATTGATAGATATTACTTTGTTTAATTTGCAACTGTGGATCTGACTTTTGAATCAATATCCTCAATCCAAAAACCCTCAATATCTTAAACTTTCGATTGCAATCTTTGGATCCGACTTTTGAATTGAAGTCATACTACATCCACAAGGTATTTGCAAAGATGCAAATTATTATTTCAACACCGTGCACTCATCTTCAAATAAAACATATTTCAATTAGAAAAAAAATCGTGCAGTACGTTTCAGAAAATTACTGTCATCATTCTAACTGTTGAAAACGAATCATGTTAACATCATAGAACTACTTACATGTGCAATATCTTTTGCAGTTCATGTAAAGGAGCTATGGGTGAAATGATTGCCCGAGAAATCAATCCAGAAGCCCATCACCACCATGTTACCTTTTGCAGTTCTTTGGTGTGAGAAAGCACTCAAATCCACAACACACCATCTACTAACTTTGACAGTTAGCTGCAGACACTTCAAATAATTTAAGGAAGACCAGAAGAATCCAATGTCGAGAGAGGTGGATTTGTTCTCTGCAGTATTATACACATGTTGGCTTATATAACCTTCTCAGGACCCAAAAACCAAAAGAAAAGGGTTCTCAGGACAAAGGGATACTAGTAGGTCAAAGGCAAGAATGCACAAGAAACACGCTTGGGCAATGCTGCTAGTATTACTCATAAGAAAGCACAGTTCTAACTGATAAGAACAAGACCATCACATCTATAGCTAAAATCCATGCAAGCCATTTCAAAAAGAGGTGAATGTCCTACCCAAGAAATAACAGCATTAGCAGTATACAATATCTTCCTCTTTCAAGAGTTCTTTGCCGTGGTTGTTTCGTCCAGTGTCTTGTTGCCATGAATTGGAACCCCAAAAAGCTTGAGAGTGTTGTCTGTTGCCTGAATCAGTGTAACCGAGCTTTGATTCTTGGAACAATGGAGTTCTGGAAGAGCCAGTAGTCCAGTCTGCCTTGGGTAAGCAACAAGCCTTTGTACAGGGTGGTCGACCGCGGTGACGTGCTGTTGGATGAAGCAGACGATGTCATTGTAGAGTTTCTTCATGCGTGTCAACTCTGTTAAGAGAAGAGAGTTGTTCTTCCTCAGTCTCTGGTTGTCCTCCGAAAGAGCCGAGAGGAAGTTGGTGTCGCCGCCGGAGACCGCTAAGGGAGTCTCAATCCAGGAGTTGACTTCGTAAGCGGGATGGAGAGGCTGCGGCGATTGATGGTAGTGTTGTGGGGGCTGGTAATGGAGAGAATGAGGGACCTGAGGGGTCTTCCTTCTGTGTATCTCGGTGAGTAGGTGTTTCTCTCCTCTCCTGAAGTACTCGTTCGCAAACTCCCACCTATCTGCCGCGATCTTTCTGAAACCCTGCAGGAAATTAAATGACACCACTCAGATTATAGGATTTGATCTGAAGAGCTGCGTGCTCTAGCTTTAAGGTGGGAACAAGATAAACTAAGAAGGTTAAATACTTGTCTCGAGGCAGTTCACCATTAGAAGAAGAAGTAGAGACCACAAAATGCTACTTAGGAGAAGGAGGAGTAAGATAAGATGGGAAGGAAGGAGGATATTGAGACTGATACGTAGGTGTTGAGCTGCCTCACGAAGCTTGAGAAGTTGTTATGCTTGAAGTAGTTGGGCAACAGATCCCTCGCAAACTCTGGAGGCCTCCACACAACGAAGGTGGTGTGATCTTCTCCCCAGGACACAATATGGTCAGTGCAGGCATCATCAACTAGCTGGTAAGTCTTGGTCAGGAATGGTGGTGGAACTTGCTTGGGAGACTCCATGGAACCCATCATCTCCTCACTTCTCTCCATTAAAAAAGCCACCTCTCTCTCTCTCTCTCTCTCTCTCTCTCTCTATAACCCAGACACAGAGACATAATTATATACATACATTGGTATTTGTGTGTATGTGTTTCTGCACAGGAACATATATTCTTTCATTCAAATCCGTGTGATGTGTGCATTCAATACAAAGTGGAAGGAATTCATCAGGTAATTGAAACCTTTCTATCATTGGACATAACGTTGGCAGTCTCTTATGGAAAACTGTGACATCTTTCTATAAGTTTCCACCCTCATATCTCACCATAAGTTGACAATATTATCCAGCTAGCAGCAGTGCTTGATTCCATTGAGACTAGAACAACCAGATGATACTAACAATCTATGCGAGCTAAGTAGAGAACTCGTACCTTGGACAATGTTTTCACCCTTCCTACTACTGGAACTTGAACCCTAGCTCTGGTTGAGACCAGCCCTCACTCTTCTGTGGTCTCCTTGCTGCTGTAGGTTGAATCTTTTGCAGTTTCAAAGCATGCCCGTGACTTCAGATGGTACACGTAAAGTGCTAAGCGGAGGGAATGATATAATTATCCTCTGAGGGGCTTCACATTTGTGCAACATCTTTTCCTGTTGCCCTTTCTGTCATTTGCCCCAACGTGGGACTCAAATGCCGCTTCTCCCAAACCCAGCAAAGCTTCAAGAATCAAAACAGACATTCCTATCTTTTTCGCAAGTCACCAAGCTTGGGATCTGGGAAGACGACGACCAGTGTAAACCATGTACAGAATAGTCGCTTGCAGACGCCACTTGCACCTTCTCAGCGACCACTTCCCGGTTCCCGGCGTTCATGTGGTGAAAGTTGGGTCAATGCCATGCCAAGACCTCTGTGTGTGTGCTTGTGCTTGTGGGATCGCTTTCTCTCTTTGGATTTCCATGAGACAGTCACATCGGTCAAACTAAGCAAAAGAGGCATACCACCATATTGAAGTCAGTCGTGCCACACAAAGCCAGGGTCTTAGCGTCCTTTACTGGAACTAAAAGATGCAACGAACGCTGTGGTGACAATAATAGAAAACAACATTGCTAATTCCATTCCCTTTTAACCTTCAAAGAACAAAAAAACAAACAAGTAATCTGTCTTGCATTCATGAATATAAAATGTAGTTTTTATCGTTTTAATGTAAGTTATACATTGATTCACCAATAGTACCGACCAAGCTAATACTATAAAACAATCTCTTCATCGAATTAATAGTAATAGTGAACTTCTTACGGGCAGTAAAAAATAAATATTAAATCATCAAAGATGTTCTCTCATATGCATCTAGACACAATCTTTTGTAAGAACAATCATAAAATCAATATTACAAAGTAGTTTCTTAGATATATTTGCATTCCAAACTCACTAAATTAATAGTGAACTTCTTATGTTCTTTTTTGCTTCTATAATAAATAAATAAATATTGACTTAAGTTTATTCAGATGTGCTCGTACGTAATCTATTGTAGGAATATACTAAAGAATTTTTTTCTACTCGATCATGACTGTCGCATCAAAGTCCTCTCAACATGATATAATATTTTTTTTAGAAAAAATAAATTTAATTAAATTAATAATATTATATTGAGTTGGTGATCGAAATGGAGCGATCGTGTTTGATGTTAAGCATTAAAGGAGAGAAAACAAAAGGAAGAAACTGTTGCATGCTGCAAAGTGTTGTGAGGATTTGTAAATAATGGAAGATTCTATTCCGAGGATGACAACTGGGCGGACATGTAATGCATCCGATCCATCTCTATCAGCATGTGAAGCACTGCTCGGAAGGCAGAGACTGCCTTTGACTCTCCAAGAGAAGTAGATAACGTCTGAGGAGGCAGTGCATAGCTGAACACCCACTGTCTCGTTTAGGGCCACAGTCTCTCTCTCTCTCTGTGTGTGTGTTCAAACTGCACAGATGTAAATGCACTCATGTGACGAAGGATAAGACAAAGAGCATGCTCAAACCTTCATGTGACGAAGGAATTGGATCTTCCGAAGAAGGATTCAGATAAGGTCAATCGGATCAAAGTGTCAGATCAAAAAGCATGATGAGATAGATGAAATAATTATTACCAAGTAATTAGCGTGTTAAGGATGCATAATATTAGTTAATTATCGCTGTAGTAGTTAGCATAATTATTATGTTAAGGATATATGGTAATAGTTAATTATTCCTAATGAATAAAATAATTATTGAAGTGATAGAGAGGATCTAAAAAATCTTAGAAATTAAAAATACAAATATATATTCTTAACTTAAAGATCTCAATGACAGTAAAAAATATATATTTATTATTACTCATGTAATCAATCCCAGATAAATAGATTTTACGATTTTGTTGTTGTTATATAATGTAAATCCTATAATTCTTTAATCTCATGATCTTTATAGGTTAATAATTTTTACAAGGAATACGTCAGTAATAAAATATATCCTGATATGATTTATTAGAAGACCTATAACTAGAGAAGAAACCAAAATTTTCCGAGCGACAATTCAAATAGAATCATAGTTTCTCTCTTACCTTAGGCGAAACAAGAATAATAAACTTGTTGGCTCGAATTCCACTTGTAACACTACAACAAGCAAGACCTCAAGAACAAATAGATCAGTATTAGGCGCAAGTCTATGTTAGTAAGCAAAACAGTATTATAAGAGCCCATGTCCTTTGTCAACATCGGTTATTCCCTTAAATTTGAGTTTACCATGACTTAAAGGGGTATCCTTTCTATCCTTTGTTATTAAGAGAGAGAGAGAGAGAGAGAGAGAGGATAACCTATGTATTAAGTGCATTCTTGTATGTATTAAGTAGTCAAATTCAATAAACTCCCATAGTCACACGACGCACAATAACCTTATTTGCTAGACTCATGTAAGCACCCGCACCCAATACACTCACTACCTATAATGCTAATAGAATTTTTTATTTGTCTTGATTACCTTCTTATTACTCTTTTCTAACTTTGATGTATCTTTGCTCATGAAAATAGCACATTATGTTTTCCGGTAGAGAGATGATCAGATTATGAACTCATAGATTCAGAATAAATACTTTCCATCGGCATACCTATTTAGACTAAAAAACACCTATTGTATCGTCAAAGAACACACATTCAAACCTCATATCCCTTAAGTATTAATGAATATGATAATTCAAATAAGTCGTCTGCTCCTCACCGAACGATAGACTTTTAATAAATAGTTTGTTTAATTATTATTAAATATCGTATGAGACATATATCATACGATTTCTTTAATTTAAAATATTTTTTTTTAATTTTTATCTATAAAAACGATGTTGGCATATTGGTTCTTTGGATTAATGATAATTGTTTATTTGGATCATGAATATAACGTGATGGAAGTGGAGGAGTACAGGTAGGTATGCTTGGACAAAGCAAAAAGGCCATTTCTTTTTACCCACTTGGAAAAAGAGAAAAAGCACATCCAATGGTAGAAGGTTGCGAGCCAAAAGAAGCTTTAACATATCATTCTTTTGTCACACGACTAAGGAGGAAGTGGATGAGTGGGGCGCCAAAGCATTGAGTGGGAGCTGATTAAAGTGCGCATATAAAGGTGAAGTAAACAAGGAATTACCCATACCCTTCATATCCTCTCTCTCTCTCTCTCTCTCTCTCTCTCTCTCTCTCTCTCATGCACATACTGAAAATAGGTCATTGGATAACGTTGTATCCGAGATATGAATTGAATCTCTTAAAAAACATGACTACATAATAAGGCTTCATAAAAGACTCCTCCCTAACTTAATTCTAGAAATATAAATCCTAAATTGAGATATCGATGATAAATATTCTCTTTTGAATATCATGTTAACAAGGCACGCTTAGGCGATGCCACTTCGTCGCCATATTGATTGATTAGTCTTAGGTGATGTCGGTCATCGCATTCATGTTGAGTTTTGTTTGATTGTCAAATCTAATGATGTCGCCTTCCATAAAATCTAGAGATCCAATTAATTCGCCAACATTCCATTCTGCTCAGCACAAAGGAGTTCTTTGATCATGGGGAATACATGCTCTACTTTGGCTAAAGTGGACGTTTATGATTACCTTGGTATCAACAATACTCAATTCCTAACCATCGCGAGGAACTCAACTTTTGTGGCAGACCATTTGAATGAAGCCTTGAAATTGTGAAAGTTGGCTTGTGTCGATGGAGAAGTTGATGGTGACATGAGAAGCAAAATTTCTGGGTAATTGCACTCTTCCCAAGTGGGAATAACAGTGAATTATGTGGAGGTTAGACATTGACTATTGGTGGGTTGTGTTGAGGATTTGGTCTTTTAGATTATATCGGAGAGAAAGAGAACAATACATAAAGGGATAGAAAGATTGGAAGTCGTATCATTTTTTCTCCTTTTTGGATACTTGGTCAATTAATGGTTTGGATTGGGTCAACTTAGACTTCATAGTATAGTAAAACATAGATGTGGTGCCAAAAATAAGCTTGGTGGAGTCATCCTTTGAATTTTATAGTTTCCATCTATAAAAACATAGATGTGGTGCCAAAGATAATCTTGGTGGAGTCGTCATTTGAATTTGAAGTTAAAGAATCAAAAGCACTAAATGGGAATTTAAATGATAGTTAGAGAGAGAAATTTGTGTTGAGATATTTAAATCAAATGAATTTGAGTCAAACTTATTACAGTTAACATGCATGAGACCAAACACCAAGGACCATAGACTTGTTAAACACTAAGCAACGTGAGACTATCCTTATTCATCCTTTAAATCTTTATCGCATCATCCTAAGACATGAATGTTCTCTTATCATTTTCCCAATTGTGACTTGAACACCATCTTTTCCTGTACTAGCAAAACATTAGGATCACCATCTTCCCTTATCATGCATGTCTTTAGTTGTAGAAGCCAATTCTTTTCCATTGATTGAAATTTAACCTTTTATCCAGATGACCAAGAGCACGATACATGGAGGGATTCAAGCAGAGAAAACAGTTCATACATGGAAATGATGTCTCCTAAAAGCGCAGAAATGCAAATTGCATGTTGGAATTATTGCTTGTTT